GTCCGACTTTTCTGAAAGGCCTGTTCCACCGTGCGACGCTGTGACGGCTCCATGCTTTGCCGTGCTAAGAAAAAACAGCGTATGAACCTTCAAACGTTGCCACATTTTCTTCGATGAAACACGAATTTCCTAGTAAATTTATGAGAATTTTTCTTCCAATTTCTCAGATAATTTTCTTCGCATTTGAGCCTAAGTTTATGAAAATTTAAAAGAAATATATCCATAGTCTACCTCAGAAAATCAATCTTCTCTCTCGGGGAAAATTTGGCAGCATTTGATGCTTTTACGGCGTTCTTCTTTGACGCGGCAGAGCTGCTGCTAATAAATGCGAGCATTAAAAGGGAGGGCCGGAAATTCAACGGTAGAAGGAAATCCATTTAGGCCAATGTGCAAGACGTTAGTCCACGGAACTACATTTTAAAGCATTCCGTACCTGCATATGTATTATTATTCAATTTCGAGAGTTCGCGTCTCTTCAAGATTTTGAGAGTTAGTATGATGGACATTTTGAATGTTACGCAGAGGCGGATCCAGCAATTCGACAACACCGGATTCCCTCCAATTAAACCTATGTCAAATGATCGATTCTTGTCGGAGCACCTGGCCCCTTCAAGAATCGATACATTTTCATGGGTTTAAATGGAGAAAAACAATGTTACCAATTTGCTGGATCCGCCAATGAATTTTCATACATCAAAAATTTTACGCTAAATGCATTCGTATCACAGTACATATGGAAAAGTAACCGACATTTCGTGTCAATATAGGAAGTAGGACACAAAAAAAACTAGACGTGTGGTTAACATTTTTTATTGGTTTTTCTTTGGGTCACATTGACCAAATTTTTTTGTAGGACATTTGCAATCTCGCGCCGCGTTAAAAATCAGGCGTGAGTCGCCAGGATGAAATCTAAATCACAGGGTTGGTGATAGTCCAATGTGCTGATCGCTCGCGAGTCAAAACCTCTGAGTGACATCGAGAGGATCCAAAGCACATTAATTCAGCAGAAAACTTTTTACACCCTCGCATATCTAAGAGTAACCTATAGTTGGGGCCAATTTAACCAAAAATTTGATCATTCGACCGAGTCCTTTTGTGTCTCTTGCATTGCAATGTAACTGTAACTGCATTTGCAATGTCTATGTTTACGATAAATTATAATTTATAACTATAGCACTTAAACAGGTGGAAATAGGGCATATTGCTCTCATGTCATTGTCATTTTATCAGTTAGAAGACAATCACAGGAGCAGTATTTTCAGGTCATTCTTTGGTAGGAAAGAGAATCCCATGCAGCAGTATTGTAAAATTAAAGATTTCTAATGGTAAAAAGATCGTTCCTGATTGAGTCTAATTAGTGTCTCGGTGTTCATTTTTGTGGCCCCCTGTTCCTCCAATATTCGGACCTTCCCTAACATCATTTATTTTTATCGCAACAATAGGATTTCTTTTTGCCTCACCTTTCGCTGCCACTTTCCCTCTTTGTTAGTGAATTACACGTAGTGATAGGGTCTCCATTTTGCCGTGCTAAGGAAAAACGCTGTATGAACATTCGAGAGTTGCCAAATTTCCTTTGATAAAATAAATATTTTTAATAAAATTTTTTAAGAAAGTCGTGAACATTTTCCCTTGAAATTTTCAGGAATTTTTGGTGGAATTGCGAGCAAAATTATCTGAAAAATTTAAAGAAAAATATTTATAAGTTCACCAGGAAATTTGTGTTTTATCTAAGGAAATTTGGCTACGCCTGAAAGCTCATACAGCGTTTTTCCTTAGCACAGCAGCATCGTGGTCTAGATATTCATTAGATTACTCGGTTTGGCAACGATTCAAAACAAGTTTGACGTCACTGGTTCCAGTATTTGGAATCTCGAGCACATACAAGGGATTGGAGAGTAATGCCTACAGGCATAAGGTCAACGCAACGGCTGATCGGTTGGTTATTATAAATGCTCTTGATCGGTATTGCCGAATGAGTTCAGAAAATGGGTACCAAAATAGATATTTCTACCACCACTGAACATTTTTTATAGGTCACATTGGCATTCCATATTTTTCTAATTGCTGTGAATCTAGAGTCCCAATAAACTCAGAAATAGATACACCACCCTTTGCGATGCGACTTTTGAAATGGCTGTGGCTTTCTTTTAATTTGGACACAACTATTATCGGAAACATTTGACTAAAATGATGGATAGGTACAAACAATTCATTAGACTCATTCAATTAAAGGAATAATTAAATGATCGGTTACTAAAAGACTCTCTAGCCGCACGCAGATAGCTATGGCCACAGACTGCTCTCACCTACCATTAAACTTAAGCATTACAATAAAATGTAATAAAAGTTGGGCAAGTAAGTCAAAGCTAAAATGGTGAATACCTAAACACAGCCACGAAATTCGGGCCAATTTCGTGTTCATTCTCAACCAGAATAAATGCTAAAGGTTCAAAAAATGAAAACCAGAGAATAAGCATTCGACCGACCGAATCCAAGCGAACTCACTTTTTTAGCGTATTTTTCATGTATTTTATCGTTGAATCGGGTTAACGTACTGTATTTTGCTTACCTATAAAACATTATACTGAATTGTATCCCTCCCTAAATTTTTTCGTAACAAAAATAGAATATGTCGGAAAGTATTGGCCAGGATCAAATTGAATCATCAAATTAGGCCACTCATTGGTCGCATCCTCACCTCAGGTCTTTTTCCACCAATCAGAGCTTCAGTTTGATGGCTCAATTTGATCGTGTAATTGGACCTTACGCCTATCAGCAACGAGACGTAAAATAACTAAGGGAGCGATGATGAGCCATTTCGAGGTTCCTTTATTCCGGCTGATAAAATCTCTGAAAAAGAGAGAGAAGATTGTCAATTAACTGACCTGTTCTCTTTTTAATGTCGGTGCTCCAAATTCTTGCCTTGAGTCATATTTGCAGGAGCTGGCAGCATTGTTTGTCACCGCGCTTGGTCACACGCCTAGGCTGCCCTGCTAAGGAAGAACGTCGTATGATCTTCCAGGCGTTGCCAAATTTCCTTCGGCAAATCTCGCATTTTCGGAATTATTTTTAATTTTTTTATTCCGATTTTTTATAGAATTTTGATCGTAATTTGATCGAAAGTTTCTAAACATTTCAAGGGGAAATATTCATAACGCTCTTCAAAAATGAGTATTTTCTGAGGGGACGTTTGGCAACATTCGAATGCTCATACGGCGTTTTTCCTTAACACGGCAGTAGGCGTTGCAAGCTCCATCCTAATTTCGCCGTAGGGTTGGGTGTAGCACTAGCTATCGATTAGGAAACATCACCTGACAGCGAACTTCTTGCCCGTCAAATATGCTGTTTTATTCCACACAGCCATCAGACTATCAATTCGCGGTAGCACCTTAATGGCTTTACAAGCACCCGTAATCCTCTTTACGCCAAGTCGTTTCACTGATTTTGGATCCCCCTTACACTAAATCTAGGCTCAAACCATGAGGTGCGTAAATAGTGAAAAGATGTAAAGTTTTAGATTCAGAGTTCAAAAATAGAGAGAATTTATACTCGAGCCATCCTCTGATTTTTAATTTGCAAAAAAAGAAGAAGAAGAAGAAGAAGAAGAAGAAGGAAAAGCAACAAATGCTCTAAATATGATGAGGGTGTGTTGATCACCGCGATCCACAAAATGAGGGAGAGTTTTGTATCTGTTTATCAGATTTAGGGACCTTAACGTAGAGTAGAAAAGTTAGTTGGAGCGAAACACATGATACAACTATTTTGACTTCTGAGTAGGTAAAATTGCGTATCCAAAAAATGAAGGAGAACTTGGTTTCTTCTGTGCTGATTCAGAAACTTTATCGCAAAGTCGAAAGGTTAGACGGGGCAAAAAAGCGATACTACATTTTCGACACCTTGTGCATCATTAACTTATATTTTTTAAAAAAAATCTATAGAAACAGTACAATAAAAACCTCTAAATAAATTTTACCTTACCACCGGCTGAAGCCATTCATTTGCTACTTTTCAACTGAATTAACAGGGCCGGATTTATCTACTTGCCGCCCATGGGCCGCCTGTATTTTGCCGCCCCCTTCTCATTCGTTTTAGAACATCAATAAAAACCTTCAAAAAAACGTGTCGAAGGGGGAGGGATGCATAAGACGCGTTGACTCGTGCGTTGGACGCATTTTTTTGCAAAAACCCTATCAACACTGCTAGCAAAAGTTCACGGAACTTTGCGCGAAAACCTATCTCTGTGTAGACAAGGCCTTCCATTTATAAGAAATGAACGAAAAAAAACTATGAAAGACTGAACATAAATGTGGGTTAATAATTTTAACTTCCGCCGCGCAGACCGCACTGTGTTTAGCGCAATGCGTAAGGTATTCATACAGTCTTGTAGGCGCTATACGTTTCACGTCGACCGCTGCTGAACGCACTATGTTTGACGCAATGCTTGAAGTATTTATGCAGTCTTGTAGGCGCTATGCGTTTCACGTCGACCTCTGCTGGCCGCACTAAGTTTGACGCACTGCGTGGAGTATTTATGCAGTCTTGTAGGCGCTAATGTGTTTCATGCGGACCGCCGCGTCAAAGGCTTCTCCTTTTCATCTCAAGTCCTCGTTATCATTTCTCTCTGCGCCGCGCCCTTCCAGGCCAAATTGCGTGTTTGGTTTCTCTCTTAGCTCGACTAATTGAAGGTGCTGTCTCTTGTATCACCGTAAGAAAACAAAATTAGAAATTACTATACTCTCAGGAAATGAGAGCTTTTGTCGCCTTGTCTCGTTTGACATTTTTTTTCTGAATCCGATTATATTTATAGGTACCTACTTTCAAAAAAATTTCAAAATTTGCCACCATGGGCCGCGGCCCACGTGGCCTCCCCCTAAATCCGGCCCTGACTAATTATATGGGTGATCCACAAATTGAAGAATGACTCCTAAAAATAGATTCATTTATTTCATTTGATTTGTTTTTAAAAATTTATAATCGATTGTTTTTCCTCTTTGTTACAGAAAATGCACGCCTCCGAATTTTTAAAAAACGGGAGGACTATAAAAAGAGAACCTAGTGATATCTGGCGAGAGGAAGATGAAGATTGTGACGTGGAAATTACCTCAGATGACTCGTCGGGAAAAAGCAAGAATAAAGAAAACATGCAAGGTAAGCATTAACAATATACATTTATCTACATTTTTATGATAGTGCATGAAAGCATATTCAAAAGATGGCGGTTTTGTCGGTATCATATCCCTCACCAGAAAATCTTCTTAGCGCCGCTAAGGTGACTTTACTGGATGGCTGACCAAAAAACTTCTACCGCTGAGACGACTTTACTGCATGATTTTCGAAATTAGTACCTGAAAATAGACATACCTGTCATCTTATGCCTAGAAATTGCCAGATCAATGATGAATTTTCGATCCAAGACGGTGTAAGTCGGTAATCACATAACTCGTATGCGGTGTCAGAAAATCATTCCTTGAAAGTTTATGTAGAATTTTCTTCGTACAGAGAAGAAAAATCACGGCAGTTTTAAAGAATTGCCGTTGAGTAGTTTTCCGTTTGAAAAATGAAGTATGACAGGAAGTCTGCGACTTCTCAAACCGAGTTATGTGATTGCCGACTTACACCGTCGAAACGTCACTTATGGTGATTTCTAAGTATTATGTGGAGCAAATTGGTAAAAACTGAAATCTTGGACGCGAACTAATGTAACCATATTTCTTCATTCAACATTGTGCTGTAGGGGGCTACTCCCCGTGACCGTTTTGGAGTCCAACCCCCGAAGCGCATAGCACCTCAGGCGTTATGCGATACGTGTTACTCTTATGAGTTTATTACAGGGAACCATCAGTGGACCAATATCAAAAGTGTATCGTTGCGCACTCATTCTGACTGCGCGCCTTCAAATATGAAAGTAGGCACTGTGAGTGGCTTGGGAGCGATTATAGCCGCGTGCAGTAATGTGGTCACGTTTATGCGGAGCAAACATTAAGGTGGTATACTAACATCTACTTTCAGTGCATTTTTTACGCTCATACTGATCCCCAACCCGCCTTCAATACTAATGTAGACAATGTGAGCAGCTTCAGAGCTGCAATTGTTGCTCGCAGTAATTAAACCACGTTTATTCGCATCAGACATTTTTTCAAATGACCTCTATGCATGTGTACCGTTTCATACTCATTTTAACCAGTTTGTCCTTAATGGGTCAGTTGCGCTGGTCAGAGAATCGTGTTTTGATGCTTGATTCTCGTAGATTAGGTCAAAAAATAATATCCGTCCAAACAGCAACTTCATACGTTTGATATTAACCGAGATATCGTGCTTTGAAAAATTCGGTTTACGACGTCATCTACCTCGGCAGTGACACCCTTGGCTTCTTTCATCCTCCTTTAATTCGAGTTTCGCGTTGTGTAACCAGTGCAAATGTGTATCTTACTGACTGATCAAAGCAACTAAGAAACTTAGGGTGTCTTTACCGCGGTGGATGACGTCATAAATCGAATTTTTCAAAGCGCGATATCTCCGGTAATATTCAACGTATGAAGTTGCTGTTTAGACGGATCATATTATTTTTACCTAGTCTTCAAGAATCAAGCATCAAAACAAGATTCTGAGACCAGCTCAACTGGCCCAGTGGCCCATTCTGCTCGGCTGGCGGGGGCAGAGAGAAAGTATCTCTCTGAAAAGGGCACCGATAGGCGTTACTTGAAACCGTGATTAAAAGAAGAAAGAGCTTGATTGAATAGAGACTTTTCGAGGACTGAATAAAATAATAAATGATCACCATTTACTGATTTGAAGACAACCTCTTGGTGTTTTAAACACGCTCCATTTAACGAGCTTTCATATCTTACGAGCGCATGTCGTGAAGCTATTAAATACTTATCCTCCATTTTCATAGATGTCTCCCACATGATAAGCGAAAAATGCAACGGGAGGTTAGTAAGGTAAAATGTTCAACCGCCGACATGTTACTTTGTACAAAAATCCTGTCCTTCAAAGTAAATCAATATCAATATTATATTTAAACATGTCGGTAGCGGTATTTAACATTTTTTTATAAAATAAGAGTCACCTTTATACCGTGCATCACTTTTATTTTACTTAAATTTGTACAAACGCAATACAACCAATTTTGTACATAATCAATATTATGCGTTGAAGAAAAAGACTACCCTACATACCTGCGATCTCTTGCATTATGGCTTGAAAAGCATGCATATTTTGATGGAGAAAATATCGAAGGAGGTGAAACTGCAAAAAATGGGTACCTGACTTTTTGACTCCTCCCTCTACCTTTGTCACCCACATGTTACATAGTTCCAGACCCCTCCTTCTGGGTAGATGACGTCATTTATGGAAGGTTCCTCAAAAAAAAAAATATTAGAAAAAACCTTAAGTTTGGTTGATGTAAAACACACTAAATTATTTATTTATGTATTAGTGGGATTCAAAGGCGCATTTTTCTGTCGTGCACGATAAATCAAATCCTGGATATTCTTTGCCACCACTTACATATACTGCCACGTCCTTACTTTAGGACCAACGAAACTTGAGCTCAAGCTGATTATGGCTGTAGCCAGTGCACCGTGCACCGGGCGTGGTTTGACGTTTGATGCAGTGCCGTGGCGTGAAGACTCGAATATCGATATTTCTCCATTTGAAGCTGCAGTAAAGAATCGATTATCAAGGTGTTCGTTGCGGACACCTTGATAATCGATAATTTTCCATAGATTTAAATGGCAAATCTATCGATATATCGCAAAGCACGCCACGCCACTGGTTTGATCGACGCTTGACGCAACTCTCAAAATCGTTCGCACGTTTCTCGTGCATAAATTGCTATCGAATCAACTCGGTTTTATTTTGAACAGAGTAACGCTGTTAAAGTTACAAAAGAGTCATCGTTTTCAATGAGCTTACATTTTGTAAGCTCCCCAATTTTATGATTTCGAAACATTAAAAAAAAACTAGTTTCGTTCACAAAATGAGTTTTAATACATAGGTAATTACCCATTTTCTAATTGAAAACTTGACATTACAACGCACTACAACGCTGTGTGTATTTTTCTCAGATCATAAAGATCATAAAGAAGAGTCTCCCTTAGTTTCAAGTTTGAATTTCGTTCAGTTTTCTAATAAAAAATGAAAAGTGAGAGAAAAGTAGGTATGGTCTGGTGTTGACAGCTTGTTCCAGGTCAAATCCGATCATTCGGCTCGGATTTGCTCGATGAGTTTGTCATCACAAAATGTGTACAAAATTCGTTGGGATATTGAGTAACGCCGGAATTTCAGCATCATTTTACAGTACCTCCATATTTCTACAAAAGTCGGTTTACAATTTTTGATCTGAAACTCTCTGAGAAAATCGTATTTTTCGCAACGATCCCTCTCTGCAGTGCATGCTCACCTATCTCTACTTTGTGAGCTGCGTGACGCTTATTTGCACTAACTCGCTACCACGTTTACTTTTCCCTTTTTGAAATAAAAAAAATGAAAGAATAAAAAAAGGTTACACAGATTGATCGACTAGTGCTAGAGCCAGAGGACTGAGAATGTAATTTTATCGGTAAACAGGAAAACCCTCGCGATTTCTGCGATCCGTCGATGTGTGTCGCGATGCACAATGCGGAGGTTTGATCGTCGCGGAAAATCCGGTTTTCTGCTGTTGATCGACTTTAGTATCACAATGTTGCGCACAGCGCCCAACAATGTCTTTCTCGCAAAGAATTTCTTATGGTGATTTTTAAATTATGCTATATTTACACAGTAAGCTAATTGGACCGTGTTTAGCAGAAAGGAACCAAGGCACATCAGCTATTGCCAAATTCAATTGGACAATTTAGTTCTTTTACATGAAAACAATTTTGCGAATTTGTAACCAAATTACAGTGGATTTCTTTTGCATATGATAACATTTTCAAAGGAATCCGCATACAAGTGTTCTCTTGTAAAAAATTAAATTGCCCTGTTAAATTTGGCGACGGCTGATGTGGCTTGGTTCCTTTCTGCTAAACGCGGTCCAATTGTAAAGGGAGATAAAGCCAAAATAGCTTTTTCGTGTATTTTCCGAAGAAAATACGCTATCATAATCCTCCTTTTTCTCTCATCTTGTCTACTTTATACTCTTCGTCCTTAAAAATTTCCCCATCCTCCGTAAAAAAGAAGTTCTAAAATCTTGAAGTTCTGACGCTAAGGCGTAACCTGTTTCCCACTTGAGTCCTGGAGAGCATGAAATTACATGAACAACAGAGTTCACGTCGAATTAAAAAATATCCTCGTGTCAGAGAAGTGACAAAGTCACCGACACCAGCCAGTCTTGTGACTAAGACTAGACTTTAGATTTATGCAACAAGGAAGTTTTGTCCGCCGAAAAGGACTGCACGGTGATCAGGACTAGATTTATTGTCATAAGTTTTATCGTGACAAGACAGTCTTATTTGGACTACATTTTGCAATTTGGAACTATAAATTCCAGCCCGGTTTAAAAACATCGTATGTGTCATTAGTTTCCCAATGCAAATAAGTGTTTTTTCAGATGAGCCAGAATCTATAGTTCCAAATTGCAAAATGCAGTCCATTTGAGCCTCTGAGTTCCTTTTTCCTGAAATGAGGCGCACTTTTTTGGTGGCAGCATGAAAAAACCTAACAGACATAAAAATCAAACAAACTCAACAAATTTTGATTTGCTCGTACATTCAGTGCGAGCCAAGCAAGATTTTCAAAATTAATCATGACTCACACTACACACACTTTAGGACTGTTAAGTGACTAACCTTTCTTTCTTCTCCTGTAGGTGTAATTTTACTTTTCGGAAATGTTAGATTTCAAATTTTACTAACTGACTCATTTTCATCAAGATTATTTTTTTTCTTATTTTTTTCATTTTTCATACCGAATTTGATTATTTTGCGAAAAGGGTTTTTGAAAAAGTGTTCTGATTGGTGTCTTCTCACGCCCACTACCGTGTGCCCCACTCCGTATCCAAGCGTTGCGTGTTGCGTGACAAAACGGCGCGGCGCACAGTGGAAAAAGCATACCGCCGCGCCGTGCCAAGGAAGAACGCTGTATAGGTATTCGAATGTTGCAAAATTGCCCCTTCGAAAATATGTATTTACTTTATTAACTTTATGAATATTTTCCCGCGAAATTTTCAGATATTCCAGACGAAATTTTGAACAATTTTTTTCTAAAAAAAAAATTGAAAAAAAAAAATTTACTAACTGTTCCGACAATTTGCGATTCGTCGGGAGAGATTTGAGGCGTCTAGAAACAAAACCGCCTATTTCCATTCCCCTGTCTACAAACTGTGCGATCTTACCATTTTCTGCGAGGAGCAACGAAAACTTCCAGTTGTTTTTAACACTTTTCCAAATTTTCTCGTTTGATAATAGAAAATTCACAAATAAGCATGAACATGGAAACTTTTTCGTTCTTTCAATATCAAAATTATAATGATCACACACTTTTTAGACAGGGCAATGAAGATTGCCGGTTTTGGTTCTAGTCCCCTCATTTGGCAACGCGTAAAGGCTCATACAGCTTTCTTTCTTGGCACGGCACTATAGGAAGAGATCGGACATGAAACTTTAAATGAGACCATCAAAAGTTGTTGTTAATTTCGTCGGATTATACATTTTAATACGGAGTGTTTCATAACGGAAATTTGACGAAAAAAATCAATGGAGCCACTTTGAAACTTCAGCATTTCGCGTTTACGAAAATATAAGCTTTTAAAGTTTCCACTTCCTATCCGAGCACTTCCACCGACTTGCATTATACACCGTGCAGCGCAAAATGGCTCGAGTCAATAGGAGAGGTCGGACAATATTTGGAAACTTTAAAAGCTTATAATTCCGTTTATACGAAACTATGAGGTTCCAAAGGTGTTTCTATAGGTTTCTTCGTCAAATTTTCCTCCAGAAACACCCCTTTAAGTTGGAAATGTGACGATATAATCATCAACATCTGCAGTTGTATGTATGCATAAAGCCGCTTTTATAGCGCTCTCTGGCACTCTGCGACTCCCAGCCGCCAAAGTCCCCTATCCTCCCAAAGCCCTTCAGGAAGTTGGCAAACCCTTATTTCTTCTAAAACCCCCTGTCGCCACCCTTTCACTCGGCGTCCCCTTCGTCTCCTCCCAGGAGGAACCCAATCAAGCAACTTCTTTGGCAGCCTTTCGTCCGTCATTCTATTAACATGACCCTACCAGACAAGCTGTCTGGTCATGACGTCGAATATGAAAATCTGCAGTTTTGGTCACAAAATTCATGTGCGACCTGTTCCATGGACTGGATCCACTGTGCGACGGGGCGGCGTGGCGTTAATACAAGGTCGAGTGAATGTAATTCTTCCTGCGGGGAGAAAGCGATCAGCACAAATGCTCATTGTTGTCGCTCTCCGCGCGATCGGCCCAATTTTTACCCCGTAGCGCGCTCCTTTCTCGACTGGCGGATTTAACGCTAGCATTTTGCAACGACGGTGAAAGATAGAATTTTTGCTGCGCGACTTAAACTCACGAGTCTGGCACTAGGTAACGACTTGCTACTCAATTATTCTGTGCGCCCCTCTCCGGCTGAAGAGGAATTCTGCCGTGTTAAGGAAGAACGTCGTATGAATATTCGAGAGTTGCCAAATTTCCTTCAATTAAATGTTTATTTTTGAAGAAAGTTATTAATAATTTTCCTTTCAATTTTCAGGGACTTTAGTCAAAATTAGGAACGAAATTATCTGAAAAATTGGGAGGAAAATATTCATAAGTTCTCAAGGAAATTCTCGTTTTATCAAAGGAAATTTGGCAGCGCCTGAAGGTTCATACGGCGTTTTTCCTTATCACGGCAGAGTTGCTCTTCCGACCTCTCCCTTTCCTCCCCTCGCACTGTTAAGAGGATGGAAAACTCGCTGAAATTGCGGGTTTGTTTCCATCAAACGTATCGTCTTTTTTTTTTTTTTTTTTTTTTTTTTTTTTTTTTTTAAAGTTGCACTAGGTTAGAGTATTTTTCATGTTCGATACGTCATGAAAGTGGAGGTTACTCAACAATAATAAGTTTTTGCACTACATTCCAGCAATGTATCCTCCTTCTCTCTGACTGAAATACTTTTTCTCCCACAATACGTCAGCAATTTGGAGATCACTCTGACAATGATGAACTCTTTGCACCAGGCCCCAGCAATATCCACTTTTACCATTACGTTTCAAAAAACATTATTTAAAAAAATAATAATAAAAAAAGAATCAATTTTTTGGCTCAGTCCCATAGAATTACATTTTAAGAGCAATCGATGCTATAATGTTTTTTCAAAAAAAAAAAAATAAAAAAAAAAAAAAAAAAAAAACAACTTAATTTGTGTCTCGGTCTCGCAATAACAGCGAATCGACGACTCATTTTTATTTATCTTTCTCTCCGGTTGATGCTGAAATTGTAACATTTCGAAACGTTCCGGTTCCGGGTTTTTTTTTTAAATTTATCCTCTATTTTTTTGGAGCCTTTCCCCAAATTAAGATGTCATTTGAATTTGATCATGGGTTTTGGCTGATTCAGTTCCTCTCCGTTTTTTAAAAAGGTTGTTTTTCCTATGTGGTGCTCGTTAATCATCAATAATTGAAATATAATGCAAGTTTTGGATATTTTCTGTTGCAGAAAGCACGGACAGCTCTAGCAGTGATGATCCTTCATCTTCAAATAGTAGATTTAGTCGAACGAAGAGGAAAACATTAGAAAATTCTCTAAGCAACTATAGCTTACATCCAAATCGACGCCGTAAAACTAGTCTGTCGGCCAAAGAGAGAAATTTAAGAAGACTTGAAAGCAACGAGCGGGAGCGAATGAGGATGCATTCTCTCAATGATGCCTTCGAAGTAAGTATTTATCCATTTTTTCAATTTACTTTTAATTCTTTATACCAAAAAATCTCCCATAAAACCGGTAAATATATACGTTTGGTCATCCTTTGTCCGATTGTTAGCGGACGATTTTGGACAATTTCTAAATGTGTCAGTTGTTTGGCGAAAGTAACAATAAGGAGTGATCAATTGGACAGCGTTTAGCAGAAAAGAACCAAGCCACAACAGATATTGCCAATTTTGACTAAACAATTCAATTTCTTACAAGTGAATATTTGTGCTAGGTTTTTTAAAAAAATTTAGGCATTTGCTTGGCACTGTGCAAAAAAAAATTACTGAAATTTGCAAAAAATCCGTACAATCATCGTCACGGAAAAAATTAAATTGCCCAATTAAAGGCAATAGCTTGAGTTCAGAGCCAGTGGTGAGGCGTTAATGATCGTTGATCGATATTTCCCGAGTTGAAGCCATGGTAAAGAATCTATTATTAAGGTGTTCGTTGCAAGCATCCTATTCATGAATCCTCTTCCATAGGTTTAAAATGCAGATCAATCTTGTATCGCAAAGCAGTGTGTTAGCTGCGAGCACTGCCTCATGAGCTAGAATGACCGGAGCGCCTTCAATTTTTAGTACGCAACACTGATGCCCATAGAGCACGAATAGCAGTCACATAGGGCGCTATTAACGAAATCGCTGTCATACGTTATACTCGGATACCAATACTGAGACATTAAGCAGAAAGTCCGTATGAACAATGGAGCCTTGCCAAATTTTAGAATGTTGTCTTAAAACTGTCTCGTATCACCGCGTGTTAAGAAAAATGATAATATACGCTGAAATAATTGCGTATAAATACTCCTTTTTATGCTCATCTTCTTTGATAAGAATGTGCCCCCTTTTTGATTTCTGTCTTTACGGAATTATCTTTCCCGCCATTGTGTTTAACTAATTTGCTTTCTTTTTTGTTTTAGCAACTAAGAGAAGTAATTCCTCATGTTAAAATGCAAAGAAAATTATCAAAAATAGAAACTTTAACATTAGCTAAGAACTATATTATGGCCCTAACAAACGTGATATGTGAGATGCGGGGCGAAGAAAAACCTTATACGTAAGTTACCTTCATTACTATTACTACATCTGTTACAGTGAAGCCACGCGGAAAAAAATCAATGATTCATCTAATAAATTTAAAAATGTCTATAAACTTATAACAAATATTTTTCTTGTAAGAATAGAGTCATTCATATTCGTTTGAGTGCTCGCAGATGTAAACATTTTGATTAAGTCAAACTTTTCTAAAATCAAAACATATTTTCCCATGAAATGTCACACGTATTGTAAAAATCAAGTCAAACTTTCTTAAGGCTTGTGTACGTTTTTTCTGAGATAAATTACATTGGAAAGTTTATGCATCATCTTTTGGCACAGAAAACGCCAGTTTGAAAAATTTGCACCAAACGAAGGGTCAGACTAGAGGTTAGAAAAATGTTTCGTGAAATGCTGGGTTTTGATTTATCAGACTTTTTTCTCTCTCTCTATCTTTCTTTTTTTTCAAATAAAACCCGTCTCTTGGAAAAACATGTAGATAGGAAGAAAAAGAAATATATTGCACTACTTAATGAATAATTTTCGAGTCCAGCTTAAAAAGACAAAATAGATAATCGTCATTTCGTTCAACCTGAATTTCTGACCTTCATTTTTAAATAAAGACGCACTTTTAGTCTCCTAGTATTAATCGATCAAAGTTTTCCACACATTCAATTCCATTCTCTCCTCTTTCCATTGCTATTTTTCTATAAAAACTTTCTAACTAAAAGTAACGAATAAGTATACTACCTAGAAAAATAGATAAATCGCAATATCCTTTGACAAAGGCGTCACTTCTCATACTTTTCCGCTTCTCGCACCCTCTAAAGATAGTTTTTTTTTCTCTCTAGGTGGTATAATTGACCAATATCCTCGGTGGATTACCTTTTTTAAATTAAAAGGTTTGTATGAAAAACCAGTGTATAAGTTTATTTATTTTTATTTATTAAATCACAACACCTTTCAAATCTTATAAAGTTTATTGTGTAATGCTTCAGACAAAGACCAATTTTAAAAATATTGATGTAAAAAAATTAAAATGTTGTCACTCATTTGCGATTATATATCAAGCATTAATTAAAATCCGGTCTCAAGACCTTGGCCTCATCGTTACTGTTTTTTTCTTCTTCTTCTTCTTCTTTTTTCTTTTTTTGAGATTTACTTGTGCCTTTGTAGCGCAACTTGTCAAAAAAACTGTTTTTATCATTTTTTAAATCACGATTTGAGTAAAAGGGCGAAGCGTTTAACTTATAAAAGGTTCATTTTTCGTATACGTGCGTTCAAGTCTCCAGGAAAATAAAAGGCGTAGCCATATCATTTGGGTTTAAAATTTAAGACCATTTGATATGGGCGATGGGGCAAATAGTTAACCTCCAAATATGGTTCATTTTTAATGCACATGCGTTTAAGTTCCAATCATTTGGTTTGACTTTATTTTTTGTCTTGACAACACAAACCTTGACGAGGTTGTCACTTCATGAAAAAAAAAAGATGAACCATGACTAAATACATATTTGAAATGAAATTTCATTGAAAAGGTCGAGTATTTAAAATAAAATTTAATTTGAGTTGGATTCTACAAAAGTTGTAGCAAAATTTGTACGGTATGCCTGTGTTTTATGAAAAGTGAAAAACTAAAGAATGAGTCAATCCTTTTTTTTGGTCCCTCAAACATCCTGGATTAACATTCGAACCACGTGTGATCCCTACGTATGCTCAACTTGTGTTTCATACTACATGCCATGCGTGATTCAAAGGTTAAAATCATCCACTCGTTATTTTCACGTTGATTTGAACACCTGTCTCATTTTTCCTGGAAGTGCTCTGAGAGCATCGGTGATCGCTGTAGAGTGTGTTCATAAGTTATTTCACCGAAGGTTAATAAAAAAATCCGTAACTAACGTAAAAACCACACGCAACAAGCAATCATTTCCAAAATCTGTGGCAAATCTGCGTCTCAAAAAAGTCTAAATTTGTCCGTCTTTAAGTATCTCTTAAATGATTGTTCTATATTAGCGTTTAAAATTGCATTTTATAAATTTTAAAACAAATATTGATATCGGTTAAATTAAACTTTCAGTTAAGATTGTGCAAATATGATTTCCTTGGGACAAACATTTCACTAAACTTGTTACAAACCTTGCTTCATTCATGAATACTTCCAAAAATCACTTCAACTTTTGATCTGCCACGAAAAGCTTGCGTAAATAGAGTCTTTTTACATAAAGATGTTGAAACTGCATTTGTGCGTTTCTTCGTTTGTGGCGTTGCAGACTTCTTGTCATAGTTTATTTTCTGCGTGAAAAAGGACTGGACGTCTTCTCTTGAAAACTCCGGTAGTTTTCCCTAACTATGTGAGATATGTTTTGTGAAAATTTCAAGCTATAATGTTTAGGTATTCGTTTAAAAAATAAAATAGGATCAGAGATTTTGAAACACCACAACCGAGATACGCATGTCGATAAGCGCGTTCGCCCAGTTGGTGATTTTTTGAAGTAGTATAAGAATACTTCGTTTGCAGTTGTGAGAATGAATCGGAATTTTTGTTTCAGTTTTGTGGACGCAGAATGCTCAGAGGAAGATGACACCGACGTCGAAGATGCAGAGGTAAACAACAATTCATCCTTCCAAGAAGATATGCATCCAGATGCAGTGGTCGACATGAAATGAAATCTCAGGCATCGCTCATGACATCACACGGATCCTCATATTTAGGAATAGTGTTTCTTGCCTTCGAATATCAATCCTTCAATCGTATCTTAATACTTCATATTTTGATCAGCAACAGGAGATAATTTGATGAGATCCGCGCGAAATCATTCCAAATGCGGAATCAGGTGTATGAATTGATACATTAAAATGTGTCAACGGACAATACACATTGAAATCGGTGTTAGGTCTACATACCACCTGTCATTTTGGTTAAAATATCTGTGTTTGGACGCGAGAGAGGAGAGTCGCGTAAATAAGCTGATAAATTTTGCAGTGCCTTCATGTTGAATTACCGGAGTTTTTGGAGTTTGTCTGATAGACCGCCTTACTCCATTTCAGGATGCACCTTTTTTTTCTTACGATTTCCGCAACGCTCTACCATAAATCGCAGGGACACTTAGTATAAGTCACGAAATGTTATGTAAAGTAGGCGAATCAAAAGATAGGAAGCATACTTTTTTCGGGCATGACGCTCAAGAATGCAATAATTTTGTGACTTAGTAACCTATTTTTGTCAAAAGGTGAACCCCAAGCATGCACTTAGTCATAATTGTTTTTTCCTGCAATTAATCGAGGTCCGAAAAATCAGATTTATGTATTGGTGCTATAAAGATAAATTTATAAGATGTAAACCAAAAATTTCTAATGATTTCCAAATCAAGAAGTCTTTTATCTTATGATTTCTCATTGTTTGAGTTTGACTCACCGCACGCATGACCAGTTTTTCTCCCTTTCTGCAGTGTTCATCGCTTTTCTTTTTAGCTTCCCTCATTTTACTTGAGGACAAATTATTGAAGAACCGTTTCAGGTTTTGTTTTCTAAAAGTGTAGAAAAGTGAAGAATTAAGTGAATCTACCATGAGAACTCATCTGCAATGACTCATATCCTCTTGGAAAATGAGGCGCAGGAGTCACAGTGCGTTTAAAAATATATGCATAAAAAAGACACACAGAAAAAATTAGCAATTTAATAGTTTTATTGAATTTGAGTTAATACTGTTTTCATTTTACAAAAGAGATAGGATATTTTCTCTCAAAACATGTTCAAAGCATACGAAAATGAGTTTAAAATTTAACTGTAAAAATGACGAGATTTCTGAAGTGACGATTATAACGCATTAAAAAAATGGACTGATTATTAATGGATATGTTCAAGGAGATATTGTTATTTTTCTCTTTCTTTTTGAGTTAGGTGTATATTCAGGTATTTTGTCTGCTAGGAGTAAGGGATCCAAGCTCTCAATTTTAATGAGCAAATTCTCATTAAAAGTTAACCGCCTTCTTTCATGCTGTGAGTTGATTTGTCGTGCTGAATTTCCGGAATGAGACCTTTAATTTTATCTTCTGGAGCTCTCTATGGTATTTTTAGAAGAAAATCAATGATCACAAGTCAGACTATGTACGGTGTAAATACTACCAAGATCATCTGATTGTGGAATTCAAAAGTTGTGACTTTCCAATTTTTGTTCTTGAAATTTTTTAGTGAGCACTTCACTTCGAGAGTCACGTAAACTGATGACTAAATAACATACAAAAGAAGCACATGATGATAATAATAAAAGGTAATAATTTTATTCAAAATGAAGAAGACATAACTTGTGAAAAAAACGCTGATTTGTCCAATAATGCTCAATAATGTGCATAATCAGGAGTGTATCAATGGACACCCTGAATCCTAAGATTTTTCTATTTGTTTTACATTTATTTTTCAACTCCGCGTTTCTTTGAAAATCTTGATTTGAAAGCAAGTCCAGGGTCCTTCAAGTTTTACCAACAAAACTTTCAAACACAGTAGTCATCCATTCCAACGTTAATACATTGATACGACTCAATTAATGAATCTCGAAGGTATTATTTTAAGTAAAAATTGTGTATATTTTTCTCTATTTTTATTACTCGAAGTAGTTTTAAATGAGTGATTTTTATATTTATTTATTTCATTTTTACCATGTTGTGAAATGAGATGCACACGGAAAAATGTGCGCTATGCCCGAAGACAATGGGTACTGAATTTCTACCCCAAGGGTATTATAGCGGGCATACAGAATCCTGTTGCACCACTGTAGGTGTCTTTTTCGTGTGGGAGCGTAGAATTGTGACCACTCACGGAGGCTTTTGCAGGAGAACAATTTTGGTCAGGTGAAAACGGAAAATAGGATGTCGATTTTGCGACGGAATCTCAAGCATCCCGATGAATATTTTGTGAACATTTTATTGTCTATTTTTGTGCCAGCACAGCCTCAACATAATGGGTTGAAACTTTGAACGCCCACACAAATTTCAAAACGTCGTAATGCTGTTTGATTTGATAGTTTTGGAAGTTCTTTGTGCCAAAATGTCCCATCCCCTAAAAACTTATATTGACAGCTCAATTTTGAATTTTTTGGCACTGAGCCCTTTCTTCCGTGTGTGGTCAGAATTTTGTTCGTCCATACCGAAATAGTGCTCAAAGGCTATTAATTTTTTCGTGTAAGCATATGTTATAATTTTATCGAATGATGAAGTAGGCTACAGAACATTAAACAGTTACCATTTTTTATTATTTTTTACAGTGGCACAGCTCATCATTTTTGTTGTATCAATATTAGATTTTCAAAAATTGGAAATATCGTCAATTAATTGGAATTTATTAGAAAGAACGTATTTGTAAGTGTTAAAGTTTTATGCTCGATCTGATTTCCGAATCTAACATAAATTATCTGAAAATTGACTCCGATTTATTTTGATACCTGTAAAGAAATCCGTCCTGTTTATTTAATGTTTTCAACAATGTATCATTGCATAATTGTGATATGATAAAATAAATTTAATTGATTTATATCTCAAGCTTGCTTCATGTATGGTCCTTCATTTTATGCTCTAGATATATCGTAAATCAATATAGTACAACAAATAATATTCAAGTATTTTCCATCAGACCTCATAAATGATTGAATTGCTTGCAGATAACTGCTGGGCGGTACTTTCCCAAACAAGGGGCCGTCCATAAAATACGTTCCTCATCCAAGGGGGACGGGAAAGGTCGGGAGAAGAATGACATGCAGGTGACAAAGGGGGAAAAGAGTCAAGGAAAAGTGACATCATCACCTTTTCCTATCTAAGTGTAATCTCGTAAATTCAAAAACGCAGCATACCTGAGCATGTCTGAAGAAAGGAACTCACAACCATATAGTATTAATGAGGTTGAAACATTTAAATAGGATATCATCAAACATTCTCAGCATAAGTGTATCGTTCCTAGGTTTAAATTTATCAGTTAAAAAAATGAGAGTAACAGGAAAACAGAAAAAAACACATTAATCAAAATTTATTGAAAACGTTTTTATTTTCCTAAATATTTTAACACAGACATTAGAGTTAATCATACTGTTTCACAGCATCAAAGTTCAAAAATGTGTAGAATTATTTTGAAGAACATATCAATTTGTACCATTGCAAAAATTATTTAAATGTGACACACCAAGTAAGGCACTTTACGGTTATTGCACATTATCCGACTTTTTTTTTATGCTCTACATAGTTCATATCTTGTTCATATCTGGTTTGCAGGTATAGCATGAACTTGTAATGCTCATTCGTAAATTTGTTGAGACGTAACAAAAGCTTGAAAATTGAATAGGAAGGATGTATTTGATCTCTGCCCCCTTAACTTGCGATTGATGCATACGAAACGGAAGTATGAGTTGCACCTATCACGATTGTAGAAAGTGGTAAAATCCCTAATATACTCAAGAAGCACTCGAAAGCTGTCCATTAATGCTCAGTCTTGAATGACTCCTCTTAAGCATTCCTCATGGATTCATAGTTTTATGTTAAACACAATACTTTTAAAGTCGGTGCTGTTGGAATATAAAATACCTATGTAAACTTTAGTTAATTTAACCAAACATGCGCAGCTAATTTTCCTCTAAGCAACACAGATTCAAGTTCTTATTCGATTCTACATATCAGCAGCCGGTTTTTTTTTCAGAATTTCATGATCAAAATCCTGACTTTGTTTACGTGCAAGCCAACTAAATCACCAACTTTTATGCTTTTGAATTGTGATCGTGATTTTAGAAAAGAAGGAATAATGTAACAACTCCATGAAACTCCTTTTGTTGAGTTCGAGTCGTTTAATATAAATGCACGAGCAGACCGTAAAGTGAAACATAGTTCTTGAACAATGAAAGGTAGGTACATTTTAAAAACTCGAATAAAACGAATTATAATTTTGACAACATTTGAAGTAATCCTTGTAATCTGCCCGTGAGATTTCAGCATTTGTTTTCATTATATTAGGTCATTTTATTTTTCGTAGATTAATATATCCTCATCAGGACCCTTCTCGAGGTTGAAATAAAAGTTGAATTTCTAAAATAGGTCAAATTGGTTTGAAAACTTTGACAAAGACAGAGCAGCACAGCCAATTTAGGGTTTTAATGCCTACAGAAAAATCAAGTGGGACGTTTCCGATTCATTATGGCTTGGTGTTACTACCTAATGAAAGTATTGAAATAATATTTCAACTGAAAATCGGAGGACCTGCTCTCTTTCAACTCCTACCTCAAAGTCAAAAGTCATATTGTTGGCGATTGCATGGCGTCTTCTCGTAAGATATGTATATGTTTTTAAAATGTAAGATAATTAATTCTACACTAAGAGAAAATGATTAAGATTGAAAGGCAACGTAATATAAGGCAAGAAAGGATGTGTACACATTGAACATAAAAATATAAAGATGAGCGGCTAGAAAGCTTTTATTTGAGTCCATCAATTGAACGTATTTCTGTCAAACGGAACTAAGCGCCATAAGGGGAGGAAGGTAAAGGGGGGCTTGGATTGGCGGCGGAACCGAGCGTCGGGCTCATTGCGTCCTATACTCGCAATGCTTTTCCATGGCGCTTAGTTCCGTTTGACATAAATACGTCCAATTAGAAGAGCACATTGCGCACTCCATTTTGGCGAGGTGTGAGTATTATGAGTTTTCGTTCATAACTACCTTAATCAGAAACTTTAATGTCACAGTTACAATTAAGAAGTTCAAACGAAAGAATAAATCACAAAAAAATCCATGCGGTACATTCTGCCCGCAAAATTGCTCATTTCGTAAGTTAAATAAATATATTAGAAAATGAAAGAATACACGAAAAATAACTTCAATGGAGCACCGAAGACAGCTCAATTTTTCAAGTCAGAATCATGTCGATATTGCTTATCCAAAATATTTTTACATGGGAACAAAATCTATAAGTCCTATAAACTTAAAGTAAAATAATTCTAATCTCATCAAGTAAGATATTAGTCTTTCTTTGGCGGCAATATTGTATAACTATAAATAATATCCACCACCGTGACGGAGTGGCAAGAACAGGCAAAGATTTGGACTGCATTTTGTAATAAGGAACTATTATTTCTGATTCATCCATAAAATCACTTATCTTCATACGGAAACAACAGCTCACGTGTTGTTTCTAATCGGAACCAGAAAAAATAGTTCCTTTTTCCAAATTTACTCCACTTTAGTGTTGTTCACGCCGAGTGATTACAGACAAACAAATGAGAGTGACAGAATAACGCGAGATGTCAAAGTAAAAGTAGAAAATAGTTAAAAGATATATTTTTCAATGAAGAATCATGATAATGAATCGAACGTACACCAGTTGGAATGTCGTCGTATTAGCTGATCTATGCTTGGGGTAAAATATGGCGCGTTGCGGTGTAATTTGATTTTCTGATAATATAGGGACACAGTCATTGTATTCCTTTCATCATTAGAATCGTGAGGTTATCGTATACTATTTTTTTTTTTACACTTTTTTCTTCAATACAATCTTACTCTAAAGTTACAATGTTTTAATGCAAAATATAGTATGGCGCCTGGAATTTGGAAAAGTAAAACCCCTCTAAAGCTTCGTCATTAAACCTTTAAGAATATGTCGTATTTAGAGATAGAGATAAATATTGAAACATTTACTATTGAAGTTTATCGGACAACTTTATTTTACACGTCACATAAACAACAAAGTAAAGTAAAATAGCAAAACGGTATTTACAAGACATAAAAATAAATAAGATAAAAACTACACTTTTTAAACTGTACAAAAGAAAACTATCAAATACGTTCAATCAATCATTATTTTCCGTCTAAATACCGAATTTGTTACATTCTGTAGCGTCAAAAATAAATTAAGACCACTTTGAGTAAATAAATGCCTACAGTGATATTTTAAAAATCAGATTGGTATAGTCTTGACTTTGTGGCTCAAATCAAAGTATGCGAATACCTTTAAAAACTGCCTTTACAAATCTTAGGGGAGTGGTACTGGTAATTCAGCACACATTTTGAGAGAAAAAAGATGAATTAACAATTGCTCAACACGTATGGGCAAACATGTGAAAGCAAAGAGTATAGATAAACTATGTTAGTGAAGGAAGAATTGATTTCAGTATTAAATCCATTAGGTTACTTTCCTAAGTACAAATGATCGCCTACAAGATTGGTTGAGGGCTGAAATATTTAATTTTACTAGGCATCTTGCCAACTCAAAGGGTTTCACATTTGAATTCAAGGCTGTGCTCTTAAGAAAAATAAATAAAAAAGCGAGAAACACAAGGAAATAACATAAATTTAAGAAAGAATTCAATTCACAAGTTATTCAAAATAAAGTATCTAATTTACACAGTATCAGTTTTTCTGAAAAATCTTTGGATTCTTGATTTCCCTGACTTCAAAGCGTTTCACCATTTACAAGAATTTTGCTGCAGTTCTTCTTGTGCCGTAACAAGTGACTGGTGGCGCTAATTCTCTGGAGGATACAATCGGTGAAATTTGATTCAACACTTTTAATAATTTCGTATTTAGTTTACTTGCTTGGAAAAAAATTAGAGAATTTAGAAGATAGGCAACAAATGAAAATGGAAAACCTGAAAAATGGGGGGTTAAATTTTGATGATTTTCAATACTTCAAAAATGAAAGTCTCACCAATTTTAACCCTTTGTTGCAGGAGCTAATCGTTGATTTTGAAAAGGAAATCGACAACGTACAGTATTTTTTCGACAATAAATTCAGTTGGAATCGATTTTTGTAGTTTTTTTTAAGTCAGCAGATCAGACTTATAATGCTTCCCAAAAATAATTTCTTGCTTTGATTCAATTTAATACTCCAGCATAGAAATGAAGCTGAAAACCGTTTGTTGCCTTCATAAGACGCTATGCAACAAAGAGTTCAGTGTAGAACAAGTGCAGATGAAACGCCGTCGGAAGAAGATTAGTCAGACATGTTTTCAATATATAAAAAAAAAAAAATCGATGGAAACGTAATTTCAATGAAAATACTGTATCACTGGTTAGTTAGCACAGTTATGCTGAAATATTTTTTTTTCTCAAAGAATTCGAAACTCGTCTCGTAAGCCTAATAAGATATAAATATTGAATTACCTTATTTAATTCATTGAAAGCACTCCGAAAGGCAAGAAAACAATATTTGAGAAATTACATGATTGATTGAACACAAAAACACAGATATGCCTAAAGTCAGGTACCCTAGAGTCTCACTGAGTGACATTTATCAGTTCGTAAGCTGTTTCCACTCATCAATTTGCCCATCCACGTTCAAATAAAATACATGACCATTCTCTGAGGGTGAGTTTTACCCGGCCTAAAATTAGTGCGGTGGTAACAATGACAGTTAAAAATCGTGAGGAGACTTCGTTTAGTATCGTGCATATTCTCTGTGAAAAATAGGTCACGCTGACGATTGCTGATGGGAGATATGCGAGATCCATGCGCGTCAGCAAACATATCCTTCCGGGAAGAAACTGGCACATTGAGCGAGCACCTTTTTGGCATAGAGAGCCCACGTATTTTAACAAGGGTAGAAACAGTGGTGATTCTTGAAACTTGGCAACACAGATTTCCCTCCATTTAAAACCATAAAACATATCAATTTTAGGAGTGACAATTTGCCTCACTAAGAATTCATTTTTTTACTCACATTCAAACGAAGGAATTACAATGCTGCCAACCTCCAAGAATCGCTACTGAGTAGATAGCTGACGTAAGGTGCACATTGAGGACCAGCACCGTTGTGCGCAGTCAGTTCGGACGTAATATTTTCCCCAAAAATGGCAATGGAGTAATAAAAAATGCACACGAAATTCACAGCAGAAAATTAAAAAAGTCCGTGGCTAATACCTCAGAAAGCACTGCATTTTTCATAAATGACAGCCAAAAGCAAACTTTTGTTATAAAACATTAACTTTGGATGCTAAATTGCACGATTGCCAAGGTTTCCTCGAAGAGAATTTTGAGAAATTCAAATATAAATAAACACATTATCTTGGAAGCTGTTACTATAATTGTTTTCGTGTATAATTTCAACGGTTTTAAACAATTGCTTTCTGCCGTTTTCTTGAAATATATCGATTTAAAGACGATTGAAATTACACGTAAAACATGTCGGTAACCGTTTTTAAGACCGTTGTTTGTTTTTTGAGGTAGGTTTATTCACATTCCTCACCACAACTTTGGTTTCTGGCGACGAGGAAAAAAAGCTCGGGAAAATTTGAAATTTCGCATAATGGACCACGCAAATTGTGCAACGAAGACTGAATTTTCAGACTTTTTTTAATCGCTCGACAATTTTCCTGCGATTTCACCGATGAATAGTCCACTCAGTTCGCTGTGTCTTTTATTTGCAAGAGACTCATTGAAATAGCAAGGATTTACAGATGCCAATCACACAGATTAAGAGGATTTGATCATCATCATCACCAAACATTTGGCCGAGGACGGCCTCAATAAAAACATAAATACATTTTTGGCAAGATATATAACTCAGTCAAGAATTTGTTTTCTTTCAAGCTCCTAAGTAGCACAGATTGAAATAATTTGCAATTACATGGCAAAATTATTGCCATTGCATCGGAGTGGCACAAAAGATGCCTATCTACTGATTGAAGGGGCACTTCTTGTTGCAATGTATTGCAATGAAATTGAAATGTAAGCTGCAATTTCTCATTGCATCGCATATTGCCTATCTCTCTGATACACGGGGCTCACCTCGTTGATTGTTCAAAACGGCGTTAATTGACCAAATAATATACATACATAGCAATTTTGTGGCAAAAAATTGCAATTTTATTTCATCGTTTTCATTGGACTGTGCTACTTGGGCTCGAGTGAAGGTCTAGATCATTTCGAAAGTGAAGAAATGGGAACTTGATCATTCGTAGATAAGCTTGGAAAACGCTTATATAGTTGATAACTTAAAACAAGAAATGGTAGAGGAAAATGTGATAAAATTTCAACATCTACAAGCTAGGATCAGGGTCGAGTTCAGTCTCTTGAGTAGCGTTATTGAGTAAGGAGTAGGAGTCGGATCCCTGGAGGATGATGAGCCTGTGTTGTCCGTTCACGATGAAGCTGCTCCCTCGCCGGAACTTGGCTTTCCCCCGCTCGAAGTTCTCTTGCGTGAAGACGATGTCTTTGTACGCCCTCACGAAGATGAAAACGAGGATCGAGGCTCCGAAAATCACCATGCCCACCGTTACGTACGGCATGATTTTCTCCGAGTAAATTGCTAACTGAATCCACCGTAGAATGTGTGGTGGAAGATCGCCGACACCCTAGAAAGCATCAGAGAAAATTAGAAGAATTTCCAAAAAACGAAAACAACCCATAGACCGTATTCGATAGTGGTTCCATGTATCGTTTGCTTCAAAACAATAGAACATAACCTCTAAAAAAAATTTAGGATTCAAATTGGAAAAGTTGAAAATGAGAAAATTTCCAACAATATCACTTTCGATTGACATTTGGTACTCGTGCAAAAGAATAAAAAAATCTATGACAAAACCCCGATTCCTCAGATTTCTAGATTTCCTTTCGAGGCTCTGTTTACAAGTTGAACCAATCGATACCGATACAATTTCACCTGTTTGATTTATCGACTAAGATCAATATAGCTGCAAATGCGAATGGGGGCTCTATTGCGAATGACTAAAAAGAGACTACGAGATACTATTTCTTCTCTTTTCCTTCCTCCGTTTTCCGATTGAGGGAGGCAATGAGGGGCTTGGAGGAAAAGGCGTCTGAGTGCAGTATTTGAAAAAAATAAGTTACTAATGATTTCAACAAAAACTAGTCTTGAAATATATTGACGGTGAAACTACTGAACTTCATATATCGGTTTCAAACGTCGTAGACTTCCTGTCATACCTTATTTTTTAGGTAGGAAACTACTCAACTTCAATTTTTAAAAACTTCCAAAATTTTTCTGCCCGGTGTGTGATGGTTTGTCCTCCTTCACAAAAATAAAATGGGAGCGGAGATGTTGAAACACCGGAAACGAGATATGTGGTCTGGTAGTCTCACTGTCGATATTCTGTGAAAACATTCCTACCAAAATGCCATTTTCAAGCATCAAAAAGTAAGATTGAACTTTTTCCACCGCATGAGACTTTATGTATTTATGAAACATAAAATGCAGATTTCTTGAAATAATAAAAACTGCGTCTTGCCCTTTAAGCCCTTCATTGTGTAAAATTTACTAGGATTTTTTTAATGTGCTTGGAGCTATTATCCTATTTTGAATAGTCATTCCATCGTATGTTTGAGTTGAAAATATGAAACTCTGCAACATTTTTAAAAGCTCCTAGTAATTCTTTTTTGGTAGAAATATCAGTTGTGTTTATTTGTGTATTATCCGCCAACAGACAAGAAATCACCACGATCAGGACTCGCTCAAAATCGAGATTTCCTATGAAAAAATAAGAAAAGAAGAAGGATTGATTAACATAAAATGTTACTTACTTCTTCAACCCACATAATGGGGAAGGTAATGGACGGAAACTGCCTAACGATATGAATATTTGATTGTTCCACGGCTAAGTTTAACTGAACTTTGACTCGAGCCTCCAACGGCACTCCTAATTTCTGAAATGATAAGAGAGAGAGGAAAAAATGAAATCACGGTGTTCAATACTAATTTTCATTATGACGGCATTTTGTGAAAGGGGAGCAACTTTTAAAAGAGAGAGGTTTTGATTACTTAAAATTTATATTTTATGGCATTCTAAAGAATGCTTATAGAAACAAAATGTACCAATCAAGTGGCTTCCCTGCACTAAACTTCTAGATTTTACTTTGATCATGCCGAGGGAAAATTTTTTAATTATTTTGAAAAAATTCTTATTTTTCTTAAAATATTAATTCTGAAAAAATCTCTACCTTCCAAGTGGCAAGAAATTTAATTAAAATCCAAAAAGGAAAAGAGTGGTAGTTGACTCCTTTCCAGACTTTCAAATAGTGTAACAAAAATTATTGTGGTGAATTAAAAATGTCCGTCGGATAATTTAGCAACTGTGGTAAAATACACATCTTTCACATTCTAACCTAAATCGGGCAAGTAATGCAACGTGAATTCTAGATTCTAGGTACGCAAAACAACTATCATTATCCATTTTTGATCACAAAAAAGGCAAGCCTCTTATATTACACGATTTACTCACAGGTTGAATTTTGAAGAATGTTTGATGTTTTTCAGGGTCTGGCGTCAATCCATCGACTGCATCCAATAATGCGGGGTCTGCCTGATAAAAATGCGGAAATGACAGGAGGACTGGGGCATCTGCGAAAATTAATTGTTAGACTATTAGTGCAAACATTTTCGGACGAGAGTCACGCTTCGGGACAAGCAAACCAGTACCTAAGTCAATTTGTGATGTATTAAGTCTAAGACGTGACTGTCGCAGGCACTCAGTAATCGCCGGCAATTAGTAAACGGCATGCGTTTTAACTCGTCTAATTGCAATTACTCGCGTGGACATATTAAATATTTCATCGGTGGAGAACTTGAAAAGCACTACTACGGCCGGCTTGAAGCGCCTTCAAGTCATGATGATACTCTACGCATTGCCATGAGAGTTACAGTTGCCTCATTGAGCCAAACTCAACAAAGGTCGCATATTTCACTGCACGTAATCGCGAGAATCAATCGAGAAGAATTCCTCTAATGAGTCGAGACTGGCATAGAGTTTTAAGGGTGCACTGAAAAAATGTACGGAAAACATTTTTTTCATATAAAAAATATTCTTTGATTTGGAGAGACTTTTTTCAGACAAAAGAATTTATAAGGAACTCTTTTTTGAGAGAAAAAAGTTGCATTGATTCGAAAAAGTTTTTATTTTGAGGAAGAAATGAGAGTCATCGTTATTTATATACTTCCTCACAAAATCATACTTCTTTGAATTAAAAATACCACATTTAGATTAGAAAAAATGTATTAAAATCATAGAAAATATATAGTCCTCAAGAAATGCTTTTCAAATGGAAGAGAATTTTATTTTAATTGGAGAAAATAACGATTTTCGACAATGTTCCAGTGAGTGCGTGGGTGGATATGTGTGTATTTTGCTCACCAAATTGACAGGGGCTAATATTTTGGAGGCCTTTGGGCGGGCAAGGGATGTTGCCTGGGCAATAGCATTTGTTGTCCGAGTGAAGTTCACCGGGTTGAAATATATCGTCGTCGGGTGTGTAATAGCCCACGTTCACACCGTTCTTCTCCGTGTCGTGACGATACCTCAACGGCCAGATCCGACAGAGGTCTTTGTCATACACGTGCACTACGTCAGAATTCGTGAAAGCACGGGGAGGGAAGAACGACCCTGTGTAAAAAGAAAATTTACATTCTTAATAAATACTAGGAGCTGATATTAAAATGGAGAAGAAGATTATATTGAATGTTGACTGAGTAAAAGACGCCAGACAAGATGCTTTATTGGGTTTCTCCTGGGAGGAGACGAAGGGGACGCCCAGTAAAAGGGTGGCGACCAGAGACAAAGAGAGACCATCTTTTTGCTATCTTAGCAAAGGTGGAAGTTTTTACTTCGGAACTACAACATTCATCTGTTGACCTACCTACTAGATGGGTGCTTGACAACGTGTTGAGTATTCCGTCTTGCAAAAAAAAAAAAAAACGATGCTTGGTAAACTTGTTTGGCTCAAGACGTCACACAAACATCATCATCTATCTAGTAGGTATAAGATGACTGTTGCTCTCATATGGTTGTTCATAAGGAAGAGTTAAATCCCCGGAAGTTAAAGTCTCCACCCATCACCAAAAGGCTAAAAGAGGGTCTCTCTTGGTCTCTGGTGGTATGACAAGGAATTTTACAAGAGATGAGGCGGTGCCAACCATATATTCATATTGACAATATTTAAAAAGGCATTCGTAAGTTTTCGGAAAGATTTGGAGGATTTTTTGGGAAGACATTTGGACAATTGAAAGGTACCTTCTGAGGCAGCTATCGAGTTGCATGGGGCTGAGTCCCAGTACGGCAAGTGGTCCAATCCATTGAGTTTGTCCATAACTCCGAATTGATGCATTCCGGTGTGGCCAGTGTAGATAGTAGAAATTTCATTCAATGTTCCGTTTCTCTGCAAAAAAATGATTATTTGTTACAAAAAAGATCATTAAAAAATAGCTGATACGTTCAGAAACAGAGATAATTCTTTGAAAGATCGCAGAAGCAAAATTGGAGCCCTGAGAGAATGAAATAATTTCGAATTTAAAGAAAACGAAAAGCTGGAAAAACAATGAAACAACCATATCTGGTTCAAAAGGATTTAGCGCTTTGCGTCATCTTCTTAAGTAATGATTGCATGAAAAGCCGGATGTATATGCTTTTGTGCGTCTTCATGTGGTTAAATAATTCAGATGCATAGCATCATTCTATAACACAAATTGAAATGGGGAACATATGACGATTGAGAGTGCAAAAAACCTCATGCACTTACATGTCCCTTGGTTTGGAAAAGTGAGTTTATTTTTTTATCTCTTTTCTGTGTTTTATAGATTTGCCAACAGAAATAAAAGTGATAAATCAGTAGAGCACTTTCTAATCTCGTAAGGTGTGTCCAATTCAATCTCTAAAAACATATAATACGGCTGGTAAAGACTCACTCCAAGGAAGAGGCCCATCTTTTTCGGTGGGCGTTTCCCTTTCGGAAAATATCTGTTGGCCAATGACGTGAGAGTATCATCATATCCAAAAACGAGTTCTTGCGCCGTGACCGTCTTGAATGGTGTCATATCGGTCATCACCCGTAGAAACAGAGACAGGGTTGCTTTCACGATAGGTTTCAAGCTATTTGCTTGCGTTGTCAGCGTCTGTAAAACCAGAGAGGAAATAGTGGTCAAATGATAACATCGATAAAATATCTTTAGATAGAAAAATACATGATATGACTTAAAAAATGGCAGTCACATACTTTACCCATTGTCAGGAAAGTAGACAGAGTGGTAAAAAAAGATAGTTTTTCTGTCTCAGTTCAGAAACAACTTATATGGCTTCAATTTTCTAATGCAGATAGGTGCTTTCATGAAAAAAATAGACATTGTGGTTCCTCGTTGCAAAATGAAGTCCAGACATAAATGGGTCTTATTTGAAATGGGAAATCAATAATATTTTGTGACGATTAAGCAAATATTTATATGCGAAATCACTTTTTAGAATGGGAAAATTCTATTTTAAAAAAAATAGGCTCCATTAATCACATTGTGAACTTTACTCGAAGTTTACCTCTTTTTTAATTCAGAATTTAAAAAATGTAAAATATGATAGCCTGCCATTCATTGTTTTGTTCCGCACGAGCTATTAAATGCATTTGTTTAATGTATTATTTTATTTACCATATACAGAGGTCTAAATATCAACCGCGTCAGATAGGCAATGTAGAAAAAAAGATATAAAAGTATCGAGGAAGAATGAAAAAAAACTGATTTAATATATTGATGAGGGATACTTGTGACAACGAATCCTTCTTGTTTTATAACCTCAGTGCTAATTGCAATATAAATACGAGGAGTGCAATTCAATGATTATCGGAAAAAGATGATTGGAACGTGACGGCAACGTTCGGGTGACATTGAGACAGTATTTGCTCGGCAGGACTTTATATTAAAACTCACGGAACTGAGGAACGTTTGCATATACGTTTCATCAAATCAATAAAACGTCCAACTGACGTTTTATTGCTGAGGTGCGAAAAACAATGACAAACATGAGCTTCGAATTCCGTCACGAGATTTGCGAGCGGGAACCTTCCGTCCCCGCGAACACGTTCGTCCAGTACGTTAAGCTTAAGGCAACATTTTCGATGTTGGATGTGCTTGTGGTATTATCATTTTTTGAAGGCGAATTATCTGAGCGACCGGACGAGAGAACGTGAGAGTACCCAGGAGTGCGGGCTACTGGCACAAGGCAACTACTTCAGCTAACCCCACCGCACTGTCGTTCTTGGAAATAACCGTGGATCTACTTGGCGTTTACAATTGAGTTACGTGGTTTTTGCTCGGTAGCATAACTTCACTCACAGTTGGACCGCGTCTGGCAGAAAGGAACCAAGCCTCATCACTTATTTCCAACGGGGAAATTTAATTTTTTACAAGGGAACGTTTGTCCGGATTTCTTTGAAAATTTTAGGGAAATTGCTTCATTCTAGGCAAAAAATTCACTGAAAGCACAAACATCCGAACAACCGTTTTCATGTAAAACATTAAATTGCTCACTTTAATTTGGCAATAGTTAATGTGGCTTGGTTCCTTTCTCGGATTGCAATTCTATATTGTTATTTTCTTGAGACAATCATGATTTGCGCCACCTTTTTTTGGTGTATTAATTGGTAACGAATAAGCAGTGGGCCTAAGAAAGACTTGCAAATTTTTAACGGACGCAGTGATCTAAGAATTGTCTGATAGATGGAACTACTGCACTAATTTGAAAAGATCTGGGGTGCATACGGCCTAATCTTGACATTAAAACACAATAGGCTTATAATGATTTCATTTTGACAACGTTGCTTACCAGTAGGGGTATGTTGGGTACAACAAATTTCGTTTCCGGGTCCGCTATTGACAGTTCCGGCACAAATTCTAATATTTTCCTGTGTTGAAAACTGACGGTACCGTTGTCATGAAACTTGATGTTTACCTTCTCCATGTCCTCTCTGAAACATAAAATGAATTTCAAAATTAATTTGAATTATTCTGTTAGGTTAAAACGTCTCTGTGACGCCCTGGAATTTTGTTTCTGTGACGTTACCGCTGTGCGTGATTTATAAAACTCCGGGGAAAGACCAATGACGCACTTGAACGTAGCGCAGCGCATTGCAATTAACACTTTTACTATCTAAAACCTATCCATGAATTTTCATCCAACTTCCTATGTGAGCCTTGTCTACGTAATTCCTCTTATTTTTAACCAGCGCAACGAGGGCTCCAGGTTCAAGGGTAAAAGATGATTTGATGCTTTTCAGGATGACATTCGTCAGAAAGGGAAGGTGTAGATTGAGGGTGAGTCAACGTTGACGACCTGGCGAAGACAAGGTTGCCAAATTGGTCACTAAAATATGGTGACTTTACATAGGGTGACATGGGGGAGAAATGCTGATTTTTAGCATATCTGGCAACACTGGAAGAAGAGGTGACATGCTGCACGCAAAAAGTCTTTGCATCTACCTCTGACTCCAACTAATTGCCTGGCTGTGATTAATTTTACACTGATGAGTTGGATAATTCGCCAATGATTGCTTGACAGATGATTATTGACGCACTAAACGACGCGGATCGATTATGGCGTATAATTATTTGCGATTCGACAGCATGATGATTCCATGTGACATGCTCAGTTTTGTCACTGCAACGGGAACTTAAAAATATTTCTAAGGATGTAGCTTCATGTTTTCCGTTAAGAAGGAAACATTTTCAATAGTGACCGAATTAATACGAATTGAGTGGGTAACAGAAAATAAATGATCAATGATGCGTTTTCAATAGGATAGCTTTCATAAAATTCGGTTCATTTTTCACTTAAAGGGCGGATATCATCAATCAACATAATTTTGTTCATCTGAGGGTTTAAAAGCCTAAGAAATTGGATCAATGTATCAAAATTGTTTTACGATGGATAATAATTTGGAAATGTATCTTGTACGTCTTTATCAACTATGGATCAATATTTTGAAGCGCGAATCAATCATATGCGGATAAAGTAATCTTTTAAGATTGCTTTATTTCATAAAATGTAGAGGTGTCATATTTTACATGGAGAAAACGTGAAATCAATTCTCGCTTACGCGCGAGGGTGAGGCTTAATGCACAACATTCTAAAAAACACAATTCCGCGTGGAGTGACACCTTATTATACAGTTCCTTTATCACATTTTGCGTTACCTATACATTATAGTTAGTACACGGTAATAGCTCTCTTCTTCTATCACAACTGTTTCGCGGCTCCTTGAGGACCGTAGCATAATTAATCAATGCGAGCAAGACAACAAAATTAAAGTTATTTTGACTTTATGCTTTTTTGATAACGTGCTGAACTGCTGACTAACGCTCCAGCAATTTTTTTCCCGGCGAACATTTTGTTTATAATGTCAAAAGCTGACGAAGCTGATTTTAGTTTCAACAATACGCTGTAGTTTCCTTTACGATCCCAAAAATAACATAAAAGTACACCTCGGTACGGGTTAAACAGATTGTCCACATCTTCCGGAGGTCGGAATATTTTTGAGTCCAGACTTTTTTAAAATAGATCAGATTGTTATGAGCTCTACTCTCCGATAGTTCCAAAAAGCGAGTGATCATTATGTCGGTAAACCTGCAACTTTCAAGTATGGTTTTAAGAACTATATACGAATGTCACATGCTGAAGTTTCATCCCGGATACATCGAGGGAACTCAATTTTTTCCCTGTCTCTCTACTCCCCTCTCTTCCTTCCTCTCTCGTCTCTTTATTATTCTGATCGAAGTTATTTTTCTTGGCGTAAAATGACTTAAAAAATGAGATGACTCGGTCAAATTTTGTATGCGTTGATTGCGCAATACGCACGCGTTAATTAAGGATTCTGAGCTCCTCCTCATTTCTGTAATTTTTAAAATCCCGCGAACGTCAATCGGTTGACACTTGGATTTGCCGAGCTGAGTAGCTTTAAATAATTCATGAGTTATTCTTACAACCAGGATACAATTCATTAGATGATTATTTTGGTCCAGCTGTATTGTACATACAGGTTTCATGCACAAATTTTGCTGGAGAATTCAATCAATCAAAATATTCATACAGATGAAAAAAAAATACAAAGTCAGAGATTCAACAAAAAAGCTCGTCTCGGCCATGTTGTAAACTTTTAAAATCTCTTAAAAACTTGATGTTAATTCCTATTCTTCTCTCTTTCGTAGAATAGCCGAGATGGCAAAGGATATTATAGTTTAGGAGAGGTTTTTAAGGAAAGATTCATTAACATTTGTCCTTAAAACCTTGCAAATTGTTATTATATTAAATTGTGGAGTGGAAATTAATCGGTATGAACCGATTGGTACCAGTTTGAAAAGTGGCCATGATTTACATATAAGGAAGAAGGCAGCTATATGAATAAAACCTTTCGATTGAAGAAGGCGGCCAAAAAAAAGTGATTTGAAGTGTTGCTGTTTCAATTGCTGTATAAAATCGATTAACATAAAACAAAATTAGTGTGGTCCAGGGCAGAGGCATATGACCAATCCTGGTTCTATTGTGTGCAGGAAAATGCACTGTAACAAAGAGCACATCTCTGCCTCGTATGTGCACGGAATAAAGTAAAAGTGAAGTTAACTGTGTTGTCTGTTTGGCATGCAAAGATACCCGAATATATAAGAATGCACTCCGGCAGTGTTTTGTGAGCCAGTGATGTAAAAACTCTCGGCATTCCTCAGCTAAAAAAGTCAAGTTCAAAGCAATGATTCTTGACCCAGATACTCTTTTTGAATCATCGTCCACTTTGTCAATACTGAATGTTTTATGTACGAAATCGAAATTATTCCACGGTTTTTCGGCCCTCAGGGCTTCAAAAATCAGGCATTAATGCCGATATGCCGATTATGCTTCATCGGATCCACACGCAACTTCCGTGAAAATTAGAAGTGGCCATAAGGATCCGAGCTCGAGACCTGCATAGACCTAGAATCAGACGCGCTGATCACCAGGCCAACCTGGTCGAAAAGTCACCATCTCAAAATTGAGATTATGTTAGTCGGGATGGAATGTTAGTGGGCTCTCATTTAATTCCCTCATTAAAGATGTGTAATTTCTATCAAGATTGCCCAATGCCTAAAATTTCTCCTCGCATTCAACAGAAATAACCAACTTGTCCCTAAAATTTCCACCCACGGCCCAAAAATACAAGAAAAAGAACGCTACACTTAATCAACTAAAATAATGTTTTAATATCCGGGATATTCGTGGAATATCTTGGCCTTCAAATGTGACGCTATGGATGCTGGTTGGAAGTAGCGCCTTGATGCAACTATTCGTGTTCAATGGATGACCATGTTGCATATACGTGGCGTTGAAGGCGTTTTGACTTTCCATGCCCTCGCAACATTCCGCGCACTGCACGACGGACCGTTAAATGTCACTGGTACGATGTAGGACAATTGAAGTACATTTCCCGAGTAGGGACTGAAATGTATGGCTCAACCGTATAAACTCTTATGTGAATAGGGGAACTAATGGTACACATGTTGTTTCTAAATTGTGCTATAAATTTTAGTTCCTAATTGTAAAATGTAGTCCAATTAGCAAGGACGATAAGGGACTACCCCTTTTGTGCAGCCTTGGCAGGCTTACACTCTTTTCTTCCTAAAACCGACATTGAATCTATATGCAACTAGCAGCCGTTTACAATTAACTGGATATAAAAAACAAATCTTTAAAATTTCTCTCAAAACTGTGAGTTGCTTATATCACAGATGATATTCTAACAAAAATATCGTTGTCAAAATATCTTTCAAGGCAAATTTCCCATTTCGTGGTTTGTTTCTTTTTTTTACAAAAAAAGAAGAAAAAAAACTTGTGAAGATATTTAGCTGGAACAAATCAAAAAGCGTTGGAATGGTGCACATTTTTTGACGAGTTCCATAGCCAAAATACAATGATTTATCGGTGAAAAATCACATATTAAATATTAAACCGTAACTTAACCTAGTCATTGGCTTTTTTATGAAAATAGTGTTATCCAGTCAAAAACTTCCGAGTTGAAAGAGATCTTTTAAATTTAGATTTTTTCCCTTTTTCTTGGTAAGGATAGTAGGGTCAAAAATGGTTTTTTAAACACACCTTTATTCTTAACACATGGTTAAGAATAGGACGATAGCCAGAAAAAGCTCAACTATGCGTGTAAATGTACAGATTTTATAGAAACCATATCGTTTGCAATCTAGTCCCAATCAGATATGAGGGTCAACTATACCAAAACCTGTGTTTTTTGTGCTTCACTTTCACTCTTGTGATAAGTCATAACACTTACGAATATCTCTGTCAATGTATGTTCGTATTTCGTTGTAAGACGGAGGAATTCATTGGAATTCCGACCACTATACAGGGCTATACTCCGGAATCCAATTCATCGATGGGCCGTTCATCGGCGCAATGCGTAAGGTTTATAGAGGGGACAATGACCATGAAACAAACTTAATTACGCGTAGACACAACCACACAGCGAATCCATACGTCCATGCCGTAGGCCATCCGTCCTCCTGAGTCAGGGTTTCCTTGAAGGCTCCCGCTCAGTCTGCCACGCTAAGGGAAAACGCCGTATGAGCCTCCAAGTGTTGCCATATTCCCTTTGATAAAATCCGGACTCATTGGGAAAGTCGTGAGTATTTTTATTCGAATTTTTCAGAGAATTTCGTTCGCAATTTAACCTAAAATATTTGAAAATTTCAAGGAAAACATACACAACTTTCCTAAAAAAAATATGATCTATCTGGGGAAATTTGGCAACTTTCAAATGGCCATACGGTGTTCTTCCTTAGTACCGTCACTGCCTGCCCACTTCTTCGAAAACCTGCCATCTAACCGCTGTTACTGCTTGTGACTCTGCAGCTATAAGTTACACTATGCGTTGATGTAATGGACAATTCTGCAGGAGGGCCAACTATCTAGTCCATTTCACAAAACGGTAGA